CATGCTTTGGCGCTGTTTTTCTGCAAAGGGACCAGGACGACTGATCCGTGTAAAGGAAAGAATGAATGGGGCCATGTATCGTGAGATTTTGAGTGAAAACCTCCTTCCATCAGCAAGGGCATTGAAGATGAAACGTGGCTGGGTCTTTCAGCATGACAATGATCCCAAACACACCGCCCGGGCAACGAAGGAGTGGCTTCGTAAGAAGCATTTCAAGGTCCTGGAGTGGCCTAGCCAGTCCGTGTTGCCCAGCGACAGCCCCAAAACATCACTGCTCTAGAGGAGATCTGCATGGAGGAATGGGCCAAAATACCAGCAACAGTGTGTGAAAACCTTGTGAAGACTTAAAGAAAACGTTTGACCTGTGTCATTGCCAACAAAGAGTATATAACAAAGTATTGAGAAACTTTTGTTATTGACCAAATACTTATTTTCCACCATAATTTGCAAATAAATTCATAAAAAATCCTACAATGTGGTTTTCTGGAATTTTTTTCCTCATTTTGTCTGTCATAGTTGACGTGTACCTATGATGAAAATTACAGGCCTCTCTCATCTTTTTAAGTGGGAGAACTTGCACAATTGGTGGCTGACTAAATACTTTTTTTCCCTACTGTAAATGGCTATAAAATATACCAAATAAATTGTGTGATGGTATTGTCAGTGTGCCTCCATGCTTTGCACAAGTCCTCATACTACATATACAGGTTGGGACCTTAAAAGGTTTTACCTTTTAAGATGCCAAAAAAATAAATTGTTTTCAGTAATTGTTTTCAGTATGCTAATGTTGTTTTTTGATTGTTTCAGTGCATGCATTAAACAAGCTTTGGACAAAGGACTTCCACAGGGCAATATATACTTTTTTGTAATAGTATTTTTATTGACATTTCACAATTTTCTCCCAAATTAAGAGATACAGTAACAAAGATAAAATAAGAATAACAAAGAAAATATAAATTAAACGAACAAAAAGACAAAAGCTCAATAGTAACAGACAATTACTTCTCCCACACTATCTTGACCCCGTGTGTGTCAACAGTAGGAAAGGACCTTAAAGCATCATAAAATAAACATTTTCCTTTATGAGAAAAAAAACATTATTTCAATGACAGACAATTGAAGGTTGCCAATCAAAATATAATGTCTTACTTGTAGAAAGTGGAAAAAGTCCTGCTTTGGGAGTCGATATTTCTCAACCATCTGCTCAAATGACAATAAAATCTTATCAGCAAATAAATCATTTAGTCTGCCTATGCCCTTATTAAGTCAAATGTTAAAGCCAGCATCCAGCAATCCTGGTACAAATCTGGGTTGTTAAGAATCGTGATAAGAGCAGAGGTTAGTTTGGACCATCCCAAAAAACGTTGAACTGACCTCCATGCTTTGAGTGTATTAATTGTAATGGAAATTATTGCAGTAATCTTTTAGACTTGACGTTTCTGAAAAATAAAATTTCCTGCAAGGAGTATTTTGAAAAAGAAGTCTCAATGTCTAACCAAATAGAGTAATCATCATTTGTGATCCAGTCAGAAATAGAACATAAAGTGGGCACACTGATAACATTTAACATTGGGCAGATCCAAGCCCCCCATAGAACCTGGCAGCTGCAATATCTTAAGTCTTGGCTTGCGTTTACTCCATATGAAGGAACTTGACCAGCCATTTAAATATTTTATTACCTTATTGGAAAGTAAGACTGGAATCATTTGGATTGGTTAAAGTAGTCTAGGTAAAATGTTCATTTTCAAGTGGGATATTCTACCCAACCATAAAATCAAGAGGGAGTTCCAACGCTCCAGATTGTGGTGCGTGATTTGAAGGAGTCAGGCGCAGGAGGGTAAATCACAGTATACAGAGTTTATTCCGTAATCCAACGTAACCAGTCCAGTGCGCAAAACAGGCGCACTGGAACAAATATGCACACGTGGAAAAATACCCTGGCAATACAAAATACTGGGCTCAACCAAGCTACTAATCCTCACAATGAACAATCACCCACAAGGACAAGGGGACAGAGGGAACACTTAAACACGTACTAATGAGGGGAATATGAAGCAGGTGTGTGTAATTGACAAGACAAGACAAGACAAATGGAATGATGAGATATGGAGCGGCAGTGGCTAGAAGGCCGGTGACGAGGAACGCCAAAGCCTGCCCGAACAAGGAGGGGAGGCAGCTTCGGAGGAAGTCGTGTCACAGATCCTGTCTTATTGTATCAAATAAGGGAACAAAATTGGCTTTGTACATTTGCTGGAATTTAGAGTTACAAATACATAAAACCTGAGGGAGACCCTTTAAAATGAAAGGGGGGAGAGGTAGTAGGTACAGAGTGAAGACTACCAAGTGGCATAGCCTCTGATTTAGTTAAATTAATCTTGTAGCCCGAGAATTCACTGAATAATTCAATAATATTAACAAGAGATGTACTTGAAGTCTCGGGCTAGAGATGAATATCAAAACATCATCAAGCTTATTTTATGATGAACGTCACCAATGAGCAGACCCTGTATAGCAGGCATTACTCTGATGGCTGCGGCCAGTGGTTCCATAGCGAGCGCAAATAGGAGAGGGGACAACGGACAGCCCTGTCTAGTACCTCTGTGTGTGGAGAAGCTATTTGACCTTAGCCCATTAGTAAGGACCGCAGCCTGAGGGTCATCATATAAAACCTTAACCCATTTTATACAGTTGTCACCTATGTATGCACTCACTAACTGTAAAGTCGTTCTGGATAAGAGCGTCTGCTAAATGACTAAAATGTAAAATGTAGACCAAATTTAGTCAGAGCAAAGAATAGGCAGGACCACTCCACACGGTCAAATGCTTTTTCAGCATCTAGGGAGAGCACAAGACCATCCAAAGCACTTCGTTGGTAGGCTTGAATAACATTAAGAAGCAGCCTGACATTATTACATGAGTTATGGACTTTAATGAAGCCAGTTTGGTCCCCTTTCACAATTAGTGGCAATAAGTCCTCTAGTCATGTGGCTATAGGTCTGTTCAAGGAACAAGACTCTGGGCATTTTCCCTTTTTGAGAATGAGTGATATGTTAGTTTCCCTCAGCGTTTGAGGGAGGCGGTCATTTGAAAATGAGTGGTTAAACATATCAAGCAATGGCTCAAGGATCAGGCCATGGAACTGCTTATAGAACTCACTTCAAAACCCATCTGGTCCTGGGGCCCTACTCAATTGCAAACATTATATTTTCCTTGGTAATAGGGGCATAAAGGAGAGACCTCTGTTCTTCGGAAATAGTAGGGAGCTCAATCTTAGAAAATAAGTAATCCATTACTTTGGGTGCATCATTTGTCAGCACTGAGTCATAAAGGTTTGCATAACATTTCTTGGCTCATTTATACATTTATTTTCATATAAATGGTTGCCATCAGAATCAGTAATAGCAGCAATTGACTGGGAGTCTGCTCTCTTTTTTTTTCCTGGTTTATCGCCATGTTCATAAAGCTTTTGCCTGAAAAATCTCATTTTCTTTTCAGCGTCCTGTGTTAGGAGAGAGGCCAATGTTGATCTAAGGACTGATATTTCCTTTAATAGGACAGGAGTGGGAATTTTAATGTAGTCCTTCTCTTTAGTTGCCAATTCACCCTCTAACATTTTTTGCTTTTCAATTTTTTTCCGCCTCTTAGTGGCTGAGAATGACATAATCAGACACCTGGCGTACGCTTTACAGGTTTCCCAAAGGAGCGAGGGGTTATCTGCTGATTGAGAGTTAATAGAGAAAAATGCTTTCAACTCTGTGATAAAATATGATGTAAATGTACGGTCTTTAAGAATGGTTGTATTCAATCTTGATGGATTGGGTGTCCCTTTGAGTTTTATGTCCAGGATCACCTCAGCATGATCAGATATGACTATGCTTCCTATATTAGCAGATAAAGGAGACTGTAAAGACGTCCTGGGCATAAAAAAGTAATCTATTCTAGTCTGACATCTATGAGGTGCAGAGAAAAAGGTGAACTCTCTGTTGGAGGGATGACAGAGAGTTCTCCAGACATCGGCATACCCCAGATCATCACAAATAGCTTTAAGCGATCTAGCTTGAGGAGAGGGTGAAGCTATGCTGCTGGGAAACTTTTCAATAAGGGGGTTCAACAAACAATTAAAATCTCCTCGAACCACTGCAGTATCTGAGTTTAATTCTGAGGAGTCTAGAAATACCTTAGTGAGGAAATAAGGGGGGTAGGCAGGGGGGAAGTAAATATTCATTATGGAAATGTCCTGCCCTTGTAAAGTACCTTTAATTATAACAAAACAACCAAATGTATCTTTCACACAATTCAACACCTTAAGTGGTAGGTTATTTTTCACAAAACTTGCCACACCTCTACTTCTGGATGTAAATGATGAGAAAAACACTTTACCAAACTGCCCTTGTTGCAATTTCAGATGCTCCTTATCATCCAAATGAGTTTATTGCAACAGAGCAATATCAATATTTTATTTTTTCAAATGTTCCATGTACATAAACGTAGTCTGTTACCTACCATTGGACTTTGACCATTCAATATGCAGACTGAATCCTACTTTAAAGATAGGGTGGTACCTTTCCCCATGTGTTGAACTCTCCTCATTCTCACAGAGCCTAAACAAACTATATGAACCCTGAACACAAACTATAATACACCCGAAAAATAAACATGTAATGTTCCAAAATAGGGTTTTCCCACTAGCTAACATGCAGGGTATTTCAACTCTCCTATGTAGACTCTTAAGTCTGCATAACCACTGCCTCATCATTTATACATATGAAAATAAAAATCAATAAAAGATTGAGGCTCTTCCACCTAATACCAAGCCTGGGCACCAATATAGATTCACACAGATCTCAGTCTGAGCTATGGTGGTAGTTACTGTAGCAAGAATAATAATAAAAATAAAAATGTTACTGAACAAGAACACTTGTGAACTCACATCACTGCTTCATGGCCAGATTTCAGTACAAAAAGTTATCCAATGCTGCAAAGGCGCAGCGTAAAGTTATTTACCCAAGAGAGTCAATAAACGCAGCAGCCTCTTCAGGTGTGTAAAGCTTCTTAGGCGTTCCGTTGACCATAATGTTCAATGTAGCCGAGTACAGCAGTGCGTAGTCCATCTTTATTCTCTTGAGTCGAGTCTTCACCTCATCAAACACCTTGCGTCTTCGTACAACCGCCGTGGAGTAGTCGTTGAAGAATGAGGCCCTTGGACCTTGGCGTTGAATACCGTCAGATCTGATGCGTCTGGCCGCGTCCATGATGCACTGCTTGTTTATAACCACTGGTCGTGTGCGTTGGTTGTGACCGGGTATCGATGTTTGAGAGCGATGGGCTCTATCCAGATTCACACGTCCAGTCTTAGTATCCATTTGTAGGTATCCAGGAATCCATTCCTCAAAGAATTTAACTGAACGTGTCCCTTCAGTATTTTCCGGGAGACCCACCACAAGGATATTGCATCTGCGTCCACGATTATCCAAGTCATCAATATGCTCCGCCATTTTGCGCATTTTGTTTCTCAAGTGCCTTTAAGTTTCCACAGCAGCAATTCTTCCTTCCGCCTAATCAACACGCTTGACAACCTTCTGTAGTTTGGCTGAATGGCCTGCTATTGCTTCTAAGACCATTCCTATCTTGATATTGATCACTTTAGTAATGTTATCAGTCATCTTTAGGATCACCAGGTCCATTGTGCCTGGATCCGCAATGGTGTTAGCTTCAATAACGTTAGTTAGCTCATCCTGCACATCTACAGGGGTGGTGGTTTTGGTCGAGTTCTTAGTAGTTCTACTGGGCATGTTGTCGGAAACTTTTGAGAAATAGACGTCAAAACTCATTGTAGGGTAACTTATTTTGGAAATTCTACCACTTTTTCAAGCTAAGAAATTAATATGAAGAGAGAAAATAACAAATGTCATGGGAGATCGTTGAAATACAGCGTTTGCTCTACGGCGCCATTTTGTCCCCCCACAGGGCAATAGTTTAAAAAAGGTAACCGTTCTGAACTGGGTTTGATTAAGTTTTTGTTGTTTTAATTATTAACATTTTGTTAATTATTTTAAACTTCCACTGCTTAATCTATTGCTCAGTTATCACTTGGCTTATGTAAGTAATTGTCCCTTTAAACATCCTAAGGTCAACATCCCCATAGTGTTCACATTTCTCTCATGTAAGTGTTGTAGCTACATAAAAATATCAAACAATTTATTTGGGAAATATCCAGGCTTAGCAATTTTCTTCATTACCATGCTGATGATTTCAAGTTGTATTGTGTTTATTGTTATCTGATAAAGACATTGAATACATGTTGTTTGTTATATATACGACATGTAGTATGTTTCATTTTCTTTCTTTGAAGTAAGTTCATTTAAAGTTATGTGATTTGATATATGTAGATACTGTACATTTCAATGTTGTTTAACACACAGTAACCAAAAACCTGATCTAATTTGCATATTCATACTGAGTTTACAGCAAACAGAATGTTCGCCATAAGCTTCCAATAATTATTTGTCTGAAGTTCACAAGTTTTTACCAAAACAGTTCGTCACAAAACTTAATTTGCATGTGAAAATATGAGCTTGCTGCAAATTTGTGGCAAATTGGCCAAAGGTTTGCCACACTGTGTGCCAGAAGCCAGTTTTTTTGGTAAGGGTTGACATACATTTTTAAGGGCAGGCATCACACCCTAATAGGGATTTTTTTTCTTAATCATATCACAATCAGATTTTACCAGTTGAATGGATTCACAAATGTAATACTTTTATGTATAAAACAAATTCTGAAATTCAGCCTAAATATATTTGTTAAATTTTGTGAAGACACTCCTGGACCGGACTTGTCCAGTGCAGATTGTGGACAAATACTTTTTTCATCTTTCGATCTGTAAAACACTAAAGACGTACGTAAAATGAATTTTCGGCGCATTTTTCTAAATAAAATATTATCTACAGTGGGGAAAAAAAGTATTTAGTCAGCCACCAATTGTGCAAGTTCTCCCACTTAAAAAGATGAGAGAGGCCTGTAATTTTCATCATAGGTACACGTCAACTATGACAGACAAAATGAGAAAAAAAAATCCAGAAAATCACATTGTAGGATTTTTAATGAATTTATTTGCAAATTATGGTGGAAAATAAGTATTTGGTCAATAACAAAAGTTTCTCAATACTTTGTTATATACCCTTTGTTGGCAATGACACAGGTCAAATGTTTTCTGTAAGTCTTCACAAGGTTTTCACACACTGTTGCTGGTATTTTGGCCCATTCCTCCATGCAGATCTCCTCTAGAGCAGTGATGTTTTGGGGCTGTCGCTGGGCAACACAGACTTTCAACTCCCTCCAAAGATTTTCTATGGGGTTGAGATCTGGAGACTGGCTAGGCCACTCCAGGACCTTGAAATGCTTCTTACGAAGCCACTCCTTCGTTGCCCGGGCGGTGTGTTTGGGATCATTGTCATGCTGAAAGACCCAGCCACGTTTCATCTTCAATTTCCTTGCTGATGGAAGGAGGTTTTCACTCAAAATCTCACGATACATGGCCCCATTCATTCTTTCCTTTACACGGATCAGTCGTCCTGGTCCCTTTGCAGAAAAACAGCGCCAAAGCATGATGTTTCCACCCCCATGCTTCACAGTAGGTATGGTGTTCTTTGGATGCAACTCAGCATTCTTTGTCCTCCAAACACGACGAGTTGAGTTTTTACCAAAAAGTTCTATTTTGGTTTCATCTGACCATATGACATTCTCCCAATCCTCTTCTGGATCATCCAAATGCACTCTAGCAAACTTCAGACGGGCCTGGACATGTACTGGCTTAAGCAGGGGGACACGTCTGGCACTGCAGGATTTGAGTCCCTGGCAGCGTAGTGTGTTACTGATGGTAGGCTTTGTTACTTTGGTCCCAGCTCTCTGCAGGTCATTCACTAGGTCCCCCCGTGTGGTTCTGGGATTTTTGCTCACCGTTCTTGTGATCATTTTGACCCCACGGGGTGAGATCTTGCGTGGAGCCCCAGATCGAGGGAGATTATCAGTGGTCTTGTATGTCTTCCATTTCCTAATAATTGCTCCCACAGTTGATTTCTTCAAACCAAGCTGCTTACCTATTGCAGATTCAGTCTTCCCAGCCTGGTGCAGGTCTACAATTTTGTTTCTGGTGTCCTTTGACAGCTCTTTGGTCTTGGCCATAGTGGAGTTTGGAGTGTGACTGTTTGAGGTTGTGGACAGGTGTCTTTTATACTGATAACAAGTTCAAACAGGTGCCATTAATACAGGTAACGAGTGGAGGACAGAGGAGCCTCTTAAAGAAGAAGTTACAGGTCTGTGAGAGCCAGAAATCTTGCTTGTTTGTAGGTGACCAAATACTTATTTTCCACCATAATTTGCAAATAAATTCATTAAAAATCCTACAATGTGATTTTCTGGATTTTTTTCTTCTCAATTTGTCTGTCATAGTTGACGTGTACCTATGATGAAAATTACAGGCCTCTCTCATCTTTTTAAGTGGGAGAACTTGCACAATTGGTGGCTGACTAAATACTTTTTTTCCCCACGGTATATGGATTTTTTTTAAAGATACCTTAATAGAAAATTACTCAATTGAAAGTGAAAGTCACCCAGTAAAATACTACTTGAGTAAAAGTCTAAAAGTATTTGGTTTTAAATATACTTAAGTATCAGAAGTAAATGTAATTGCTAAAATATACTTAAGTATAAAAAGTAAAAGTATAAATCATTTCAAATTCCTAATACTAAGCACACCAGACATTTTCTTGTTTTTTAATTTACGGATAGCCAAGGTCATGCTCCAACACTCAGACATCATTTACTAACGAAGCATGTGTTTAGTGAGTCTGCCAGATCAGGGGCAGTAAGGATGACCAGGGATGTTCTCTTGATGTGATTTTCTGGATTTTTTTTTCTCAATTTGTCTGTCATAGTTGACGTGTACCTATGATGAAAATTACAGGCCTCTCTCATCTTTTTAAGTGGGAGAACTTGCACAATTGGTGGCTGACTAAATACTTTTTTCCCACTGTATATGGATTAAAAAATTTACAAAATATCAACAATTCCATCTGGGCAAGTCTGGAGAATTTATCTAAGGATACCCACACAATATTTGGTGAATGCAGATGCTTCTGAAGCTGAAAAAAATGTGTTGCCGTGTGGGAAGAGTCTGACTTTCGGGAAATGGCAGTTAAAGACAAGTACACTGAATTGAGACTACCGAACGGCAAAAGCCTATTTACAGCCAATCACCATCTCTTCAAAGTAAGTTACTAAATGTAGGCCAGTTTGTAACATTCTCTAAGAAATTTGATTTTAAATTATGTGTAACTCAATGTAGTAAGTTACATTATTGATGTAGGTCCTTTTTAAAGTGGTTAAAATTCATAAAAATGTTGATGATGGTAGTATGACAAACTAAAGAAAATATACATTTTCATGAAGTTTTTGACATTTTTGTTTACTTTTTGAAAATACTAATATTAATGGACCAAAATACCAACAAATCTCAAAATTGATAAGTAAATACAAAAATGTCATTTCAGCCTGTGGTGCCTGGCCTTAAAGTGAAAATCAGAGTCTCAGTTTCACTCTATTACCATGGAATTACCCTTATCGAGACTCACGCCATCTCTCTCTCTACGTTCACAGCTGCTGAGGAGGTGGCAAGCCAGTTACACCATCAGTCACCAACACAGAATGAGTAACAGGTAAGAGTGGAGTACGGGCAAGTTATTTTCATTAGCGTCCTTAACAGTTGCATTCCATGACGTCTGTGAGCGAATAATTGCCAGTGTCAGCCATCATCATTTGACAGATGGCTGATGTCAGAGAGCAATGTGACATTGGGAGTTTTACGTTTAAAGACTGTATTCATATCAAGCAGCACCCTTTTTGACATAATTTATTGTTTAAACGGTATTTTAACCTTTATTATAACCTCTTGTCATGTGAAGGGTTGCACTAAACCATTTTCAGGTTAGTTTACAGGAAAATAACCACTTCAGGTCAGTTTTATTCCATTTTCTGTTTACAGCCAATCTGAAAACAGACGGCTCATTGTCACTGTACTGTAAGTAGCCTGTGTTATAGCCCCATTCAGATATAGCCTATGCATCCAAAACACTATGACCAGTTAACTATGTCCAAAGCCGGAGGCAACAGAAGTGAACACCTTTCCCCTGGTTGTGGTTCCTCCTAGTTCTCAAAAGGCAGTGGGTTCGTCCCAAATGGCACCCTATTCCCTATATAGTGCACTACTTATGGGCCCTGGTCAAAAGGGGACAAAACCAGTGTAGGAGTTGCCAAGCAGATTGGCTTAACCCCTGACCCGTTTATGAAGACAGAGGGGTATAGTATGAAGGAAGCTAGATCTACTCAGGGTTTTCTAAAGCTATCCAGCTTCAGTTAGCTTCACATTTCAGCTCTGGCTTCATCCGTACTATGACGGTGGATATTGATTGTCCGTCTGCCGTTAACTCTAGCAGGCTTATAACTGCACATGCATGTCGCACATGGCTATTCGAACGCCGAACTTTTCATTGAGAAAATGCTGAAAGATCAATCCTTGGGCAAGTCAGTGCCACATTAGTATTTTTGCCGAAATCAAAATGAAAGAAAAGTTATCTTGCAAATTCAGCAGGTTATGGTGTGAAATAGGCTTTTACATGTGCAGTGTTTATTTTATTACTTATCGTTAATGGTGTCTTTGGTGTGCTTATCAATGCACAAGCACCTTTTTCTCCCACTCCTATCATAAAATAATTGTATAAGTCATACAACGTTTTACTGTGTGTGAAGTTTCAAATGCATTCTGTCATTAGTAAAT